GTTGTTCCCCCGTTTTTAGAGATTTGGGTACGGAGGAAAAGAGAGAGGGTTTTATTTTCTGACGCTGCGTGAGTTCCCCGACACACCGGGGACACATGTTTATCAAAAAGTGCATTTTGCATGATAGGTCCCCTTTAAGGATGCCTTAAAGCAGCAAAAACTGCACCAAGGATTTGTAAACCATGCAGTAGATGCATCAATCCCTCTAAATCTGTGAATCAATTGCAATCCCAGGAAAATAGTTATTTATTTCCAAATTGTGCAGCCCTACTTTAAATATAAAACAAGTGACATTGAGTACAATGAACAAGCACCTTAATATGTCATTTGCAATAACAGATAGTTTAAATTCCTGCAAAGCCAACAAGACCAGGACGAGGACAGTTTGAACACTACTTTTACAGAATCTCTGATATTTAAGGACGCCTTAAAGCAGCAAAAAACTGCACCAAGGATGTTTAAACCCCGCAGTAGGAGCATCATGCCCACACTGTCTCCCCTATACTCTGCTGCCTCCTGAAGCACATCACTTTGCCTCCTGAGGATCCTCAACCTCCAGAAGGATCAGGGACACACATTTATAAATGGGTGTTTTGATCAAGGACACCATTTGACAGGTTATTATTGTGACAATGGCTTGAATGACCATCTAATACATTATAGGATGGTTCACGGTCCCACTCGAGACAATGTCCGCTAATTGTTGTGAATAAACAAGAAGAATATTTAAGTCAAGACGAATCAAATAGAGGCTTTTGTCTTTAGACTGACTATAATCATACATCCTGAACTGAAGTCAAAGCTACTCCAGAGTGCAAGTTGCAATAAAATCACGATCCACAACATCCCAGAGTTTCTGCTGCTGCTGCATGGACCTGCCGTTTATGAGTCATCCATCTCTCTGTTTATCCCTGTTAGGATAGAGTCTGCAGTGTCTCACACACTTCACTGATAACACTGAGAATTGAAACACTAGGCTTCATGATCAAAGACAGTTTTTGGATCACAGCTGCTCACTAGCTCCCTAAACTCTCCCACTAATGCTCTCATAGTCCAATAAAAGCATTTCATTCAACATGTACTTCAAAGCATTTAAATAAAGTTTTGTGTTGAGGTTTTTCCACTCACAATTCTAAACCACATGAGTATAGCCAAACATTAAGAATACTATAGTCAGCACAGGAACATGGTCATGTATTGATACCTGCACTATGCTGGGCCTTTGCAGGAAGATCTCAGCAGGAAAGTCTTGCATAATGACGTCACACAGGAGTTCACATGTAGTCCGCACCAAGGTAGGGTTGCTGCTCCTCAGAGAACTGTTACAAAATGACACTTATTATACTAAACAACTTTTTTGACAGGTTGGCACAGATTTTCTCTGATTCTGGGTCACTTTAATATAAAATGTTCCTGAGCTTTCTTTAGCATGTTTACCACGCCTATGTTATTTTCTAGATACATGAATTGTCTCTCACCTCTCGTTGGATGACAGTATGTGTCTGTCTGTGTTCGTCAAAGTCAGCCATGGGAAAACAGAAAACTTGAGACACCTCACAGACTCGTGCACTAAGGATAAAACATCAAAAAGACAATTATTAAACAGTAAAAACGTCATGCTATTAGACACAAGAACAAAATTACAAAAAACCTGACTTTTCAAAATACTGTTGCCTTTGTATTTAGTGTTTCTTTCTTAGACTTGTATCTGTGTCTGTTCTAAGCCTATAATAATACCTTTAATGTCTTTATTTATCATTATGAGCGCTTGTTAATAAAATATACATTATAAATGTGTACCTGCTATCTTCTGAGGCGCCACATCTGTATGGCTTGGCATGCTCTTGTGGAAATATCCCATTTTCGGACAATGGTCTTCAGGTGGAACATCTGCAGGAGATAAAATGTATTTTCACACTTAAAGCATCAAATTCTTATAAAGACAATCTTGCACTAATGTACATTCTCAAAGATATTGAAGTGACTGTTATTTTCTATATAAATTGATTGTTGTGCTTTTATTTCTTAATGTGTGCATATGTATAAATGTGTCTTTTGATTGTGTATATATATATATATATGCAGGTATATACACATTTGTATTCATATTTTTATATATATTTGTATTTTGCATTCCTCGGGATTGTGGGAAACGGTATTTAGATCTCTCTGTCTGCAATAATAATAATAATAATAATAATAATAATAATATGTTATTTGTAAATCACCTTTCATTGCTAAAAGTAACCCCAAAGTGCTAAAAGAGGCGTAATAGGAAAAAAAAGAAATACAAGCTTTTTTTTTAAATAAAGGTTTTTCGGCCTTTCTTAAACACAAACTGAAAGATTGACAATAAAGTTGACTTTGACTTTAACTAAAGACAACGCCCTCTCATCCATCAAAGGATAAAACATGATGTGTTTTGTAGCAGAGAGAAGGAGAACTTGCAGCACCTGTTGGAGTTGGAGTTGTGTTGCGTTGTCGATGCGTGGAGACTGTGTTGTGGCTGGGGAGGAGTGGGGGGAGCAGGAACAGCTGGTCGAGGGTCCCGTCGATGACAGCTCGCAGGCTGGGCTCCACGTTACGAGACAGCTGAGAGAGGAAGTCCACCGCCCCGACGTCTCTGAGCATCTGGGCTGCACTCGGATGCTTGGAAGACACAAAATGAAAAATAGCTATTGTTGTGAAAATAGTGAATGTACTCTTCCAATATGAGAGTCCACTGTTCAGGAACTAGTTGATGCTCTGTATGTGATGACTACTTCCATTCTGGAGAGGATCACAAATACATGGATCCTGAGATTGAAGCTCAAGCCGGGGAACAGGGATATTTTCCTAACAGGTATGAAATGAAAAATCTATAATTCAGTGTAATGTTTGGTGTAGCTGTCAGAATGTCAGCGTGAAAATCACTCTGCATTTCCATTTACACCCATGCTGATATTTAGGTACACTTTGTCTGTGAAGGTGTGGATATTTGAAGGGATAGTGTGGAAGTGGGTTTGATTACAACAGGAAGTAAAGTAATGAACTGCTGTGAACTGGGGCAGTGGCTAAATGTATTTAAGACACCTTAAAGGTAAGAATGGAGAAACCAGCTCGAGTGCGCTAGAATTTGAAAGTACGCAGCCGAAGAGAATCTGCCCCTTCCTTCAGACTTCCTCACAGAGCCCCTCCTCCAACACACATGAACGGACTATGGATAAGTACCTCATAAAACCCACATTTAAAATATCCATTTAAGCCTGTTATTAAACTTTATCAAAACATACATTGGTAGAATATTGATCCTACTTTAACATACTGGTTAAAGTCTGGTTCGACTTGTCAAAGAAAGCCTGAACCCCAAAACTACATTATAAGTTTATCAGCATATTGTGAGAGTTGGTAGACTGCTCCTGTCTAGCTTCTGCCCACCTGAGGACTCACCTTGTAACATATCTATAAACCAGATAGAAATATGTCCATCTTTCTGCTCAAAATGTATCTACCTTTGATAACGTGGAGAGCAGCTCAAGCACTTCTTCCTGCATCGGCACCTCGGGGAAATTGAACCACTCGAGAAGAAGCACAAACAGCATCTTCTCCTGCACGATGTCTGAGACGGAGATCAGGGAATGGTCCAGTTTACACAAGATGTTCTTCAGCGCTCGCACTCTTATCTCCACCAAAGAGTGGCCTGAGGACGAAGAACACAACGTGGAGAAGAGACGTTATGGTGGTTAGCAGTGGTGGACTGTCAAAAAGTATATTTACTCAAGTACTGTACTCAAGATTCAAGGCTTTGATTGTCATGTGTACATAGCTACAGTGTAGATATATCAATGAAAATATTAGGATCCTCCAACAGTGCAACACAATAAAACAGATACAATAGTGCAAGTAAATATAATAGAAATAGCGCAGAATAGTCGATATACAAGCAATTGGAATATTAATATATATAAGTTGCAAACAGATGAATGTTATGGATGTTCTTTCNAGCTTGCCGCAGCAGAGAGACATGCAAGGGTTCAATCATTTCTGTTCAAACACCAACTCCTGAACGTATATATTGGATTAATTGAAGAGTACCTAATCCCAGCACGGCGAGCTCCGCTGCCTGCTCTGGCATCTGATTAGAAACGCTCGCGCAGTGTTTCTTTTAACTCGCTCTGCCCCAGACACCTGCAGCAGGCGCTACAAGAGGACCGCAAGAGAAAAACATTTTTGTTAAGATCAAAACACAATAAATTGTGTTGACTCTGTGGAGCTTTAGAGAAAAAACTATAAGGTATAAAAATCCTGCTTAAAAGTAACAACGTGTGAGTTTCTTTAAGTATTTATTAACTCAATTGCCTTTTGTATTCCAGAATTGATGGTTGGTTTTTCAGTGAGGAAGCTTCTTAATTCAAAAAAAACAGTGTATTGTTTTATGGCTCAAGACTTGCTGTGTCTTGCAAAGTAGTAGATCATCTGCTGAAGTAGCGAGCACCATGTGCTGCATTTGATGTGCACTTTTGAATAACCTGTTTTTCTGGTACTGAACTCTATATAATAATTTATTATTTCATACAAACACCATTTGCAGCTCAAAGTGCGTTTAACAAAAAAATGGGAACACATCACAAGTTAAAAAACAGAACACAAGAAAATTCCCCCTAAATATTGTTAAGAACTAAAAAGTGTAACATGGCAGCAAAAATGTAACATTTTTTAACTCAGGTTAATAGACACAAGGACCGTAACATGGTATGATGAATTACAAAATAAAATAAATAAATGGTTTCTCTCTGACAGATAAGACAATGCAACTAATATATAAAATATTTAAAAACCCCATTAAAAAACAATAAGTGAACATTATAGGTATGCTTCTAAAATCAGAAAAATGATTAAGACCTATTGAAATAATAAAAAACAAATTTAAAAGGTAAGTAAAACATAAACAAAGATTAAAAGAAAACTTTAAAGTGGGGGTTGCCTATTAAAAAGCCTTCATCTAAAAGATTGTGTCTTCTTTAGCTGGTGTTTGAAAAAAATACGCTTCTTGCCTTCTGCTAACCAAACACAGTCCCTGTGCGTCAGTTAACTTGCCTGTCTGGTGTCAGTTTTTACTTGGGGGGGACTTTCTAATGGTGTCTATGTTTGTATTTGGTTTATCCTGCATATGCCTGCTTTGTCAGCACCAGGCTGGACAGGTCGAGCTGCTCTGCCTCTGCTGATTGGTTCTGAGCGTTTCTTTGTCGCCGTTTCAGGATGTTTCAGCGCCCTCAGAGCGTTGTTGGCCAATCCAGAAGGCAAGAGAGCCGCCGGCGATCCCCTGCTGTCTCTGCCAACAGTTTAGATACACACAGCTGTCCACAGCCTTTTTCCTTGACATTGAATACGGTTTCGTAGCTCCAGGTCCTACTTTCGGGAGGCATGTGAGGAACAGCAAAAGCAATTGGGGGAACACAGAGTCAGAATCAAGTATGAGAATTGTTGGGAACATACTGAACTGTACTCTTCTTCGAATATCAGAGTTAATGGTAACAAAGGTTCCCAACTGTAGCTGCTGACATGGACAGGATGTGTGATTACCTAGAAGAGCATCAGGACTGTTTGAGGCATATGATAGCTATGTGATTAACATGATGATTCAGCCTCTATGGAGAGAGACATATGACAAGCATGCTCATTTCTGACGTGGAGCTAATCTGAAGTAAACATTGAATACTGCTTTCTATTCCTCCATCTTGTGACTGTGTAACTCCCTCTCTTGGATATCAGCATGTGAAGGACACTGTTCAGGAACTAGTTGATGCTCTGTATGTGATGACTACTTCCATTCTGGAGAGGATCACAGATACATGGATCCTGAGATTGAAGCTCAAGCCGGGGACCAGGGATATTTCTCTAACAAGAATCATTTGAAATATTCCTCTAAATCCACTTTTGTTGGCGCCTTGTTTGCTTACGAATGTAAATGTAATAGGGTGAGGGGTTTTCTTGCCTGTATGACCCTCCCTGTCATGGCGGCCATCTTGTTAGTGATATCCGTGGCTCGCTGTGTCTTCAGAGCGGATCGAGCGGCGGCGTACAGGATGAACGCCGGCGAGAGATGGAAGTGAACCGTGGAGCTGTTGGTGTAGTTTATCACCGCAGACAGGAAGCCGTGCTCCGCTGGAATATATAAATACACCGGCGTTATGAGAGGAGGTAGAATAACTATAATATATTATTAATAAAAGCTTCTTCATACTCACAGGATTCACTGAATGTAACTCCAATCGGTAATCCAGGATCATCCGACAAGTGCGGATTGTCTTTGTGCTTTCCTCCTGTAGTTAAAGAAATATATATATTATTTATTTAGGATTTTTTGTTAATGCAATTTCCTTTTTAAATTGGGATTTTTGTTTTTTATTAGGAGTTTAATAAATAATTGTATTAGTTTTCTTTTAAATATTTGTAATATATTATTAGGAATTAATTGGTTACGGATTTTTTTAATTTTTATTTAGGATTTTATTTACATTTTAGGATTCTTTATTATTTGGATTTAATTTGTTATTACGTTTTTAATTTAAGGTTTTTTTAAATTTATTTAGCATTCACTTTTTTAGGTTTTTTTCATTAGGACTTGTATTTTTCATTAGGGTTTTCCTCAGTGTTTCATTATTTAGGATAATATTTTTTAAAGATTTCTATCACTAGGATTTGTCACAGTCTATGTCCCTCACTCACCTATTTTCTGAATTAGCATTTCTCAGCCACCTTAGGCCCCAGCCACACGAGGACGATATAACGTCATATCCGCTACAGTTCTCTATCATTTGGACGGTTCGGCCACACGAGGCCGACATGGAAACGTAGAAAACGATAACTATAACGGTTTCCTAGGTGGGTAGATCTGCGAACGAAACGCTCTGGGGGGCCAAACGGCTCCGTGTTTACGCTTATACGATCATTTCCTGATAACGATAGAGCAATAGCCCTGCCTCTCCCCACCTCTCCTGCTCAGAGATCAGCTGCTGGGCTGTCAGAAGAGGGGGAGAAAAAGAGAGGCTCCGTTTTTTATTATTATAATATTATATAGAGTCGTGATCAATTTGTTTTAAAGCTCAATAAATAACAAAGAAGACCTCTGACCGACACTTTTCTAATTTTGTCCAGAAGATTTAAACTTTAACGGACATGTTGACCGGCGAAAAAAAACTGAATCTCTGCTGCCTGGTCCCCTCGTCCCTTGGAAGAGGCGGAGAGGTGGGCGTTTTTCATCTGCTGGTGGATTACCGGAGAGGATTACAGCAGGAGCACACGCTTGCCTCGGGGAGGGAGAAAAAGAGCCAGAGCGTCCACAGCGGAGAATAAACGGAAGGGCAACCATGAGCGGGAAGTCTTCTTTGCTGCTTTTGTGGCAGAACTACAGTCCCACCTACAGGCCCGGCATATGTACTACAGCGTCTCCAGCGCTTTCGAGCGGTCTCTTGTGAACGGACACGTTTCTGGTGCCTATTGCGTAGACTTTTTGGNAAGAATGGAGAAACCAGCTTGAGTGCGCTAGAATTTGAAAGTACGCAGCCCAAAAAAATTGGCCCCTTCCTCCAGACTTCCTTACAGAGCCCCTCCTCCAACACACACGAACGCGCACATGACCAATGAGGGCACGAGATAAGTTTGTGCACAGATGGAAGGCTGACAGGCAGGTAGGCCATCCAGTTACTTTAGCCGGGCCGGCTCAGATGATTGGTCGTGCTTTTTACAGCGCCACGGCTTCCACAGATGATATTTGTTTATGTATTTATTATCAAAGCATTTAATTTATTCATTTCTATCTGGATGTTAAGAGCATTCCATGGAATATAACACAAAGTGTTTCTGAAGTGAATTACCTACCCCACCTTTAAGTACAGTACTTGACTAAATGTTACTTGACCTGGGGTTTATTGATAGATAGATAGATTGATAAGTACTTTATTGATCCGAATTTGGGAAATGATTTGCGTTTCAGGGACATTGAAAACAAGGCAATGTACATTAGAGAAACTAAGACACAAGACATAAACAGTCCGAGGGGATGCTGACCTGGGGTTTATTGGAGGAGGGTCTCTGGAGGCTTCCATCACTGACTCTGCTCCCCTGCAGGAAGGAGGTGAGAGGAGGTCTGGAGCTGACGGTTCGGGGGAGGGGGATGTCGATGCGGACGGGCTGAGAGGAGGGAGTCGGGTTCTGGTTCTGGAGGAACTGGTTCTGGGGGAACGGGTTCCTCCAGACGCCGGCACTGCTGCTGCAGCTGCTGCTGCGGACCCCCTGCTGTCTCTCTGAGAGCAGGTCAGTGGAAACACAGGACCTCAGAGGGAAGGAGGGGAGGTCTCTCAGAGCCGCCTGCCTCCCGTCCAGCAGGGGGCGCTGTCGGTCGCTTTCTCTGTCCCTGTCCACACACAGGTTCTCCTGGGACAGAGCCTGGCGCTACAGGAGGGGATAGACAGGGAAATACAGCAGAAAATAAACATATAATACATTCAATTATTGAGGTAAATTACTCCTATACACTATGTTTCCTGTAGATATTTATTTGTAACTTACCTTAGAGCGATGTAACTTTATGTGAGAAGCATTATTGCACAAGTTTAGCCCAATATTACTGGATTTGTAGACTGTAGTATTAGATAATGGTCCTCACCATGCAGGTCCTGCTGCTCTCTGCAGGTTTCAGAGACACAGTGAAGGTTTGCAGAGCGGAGTCAGACCTCTGCTTCTCCTGAGAGGACTTAGGGGTCGGGAGGGTCAAGTACTCCCTCTGATACACCTGAGAAAACACGTATTTAAGGACGTCAAACAATGCATTCATCTTTATTTAGCTCACACTCTTATTTATACTGATTTAAAAAATGTTACAAAGAATAAAAAAGAAAAGGAAGACTAGGAAATCAGTCTAAACTCACTTTTTAATATTACCACACAGTCATTTTAGCATGTGTTCTGGTAACTTTAAACATTAAAAAGTCAAACATGTCTACTTTTTAATTAATAATTAATACATTTATTTTGGGGGGCACCTTTCATAACACCCAAGGACACCTTACAGGGCATAGGGGCAATATAGGGAACAATTAAAACAGTGGATTTAGTGAAGTATCAGCCGGGGTAAGACAAGACAAACAACAGGACATTTTAGACCTGGTGTTCAAAGTCTTGCTGTGAATTGAGCACATTGTGTTTGAATTTTACGGAAAAAGTCTGATAAATGTAGAGAAATCTCACATCAGGAGCACGGAGGTTCACACTGGAGACAGCAGCCATGTTGTTTCCTCTCACCACAGCTTCATCTTCAGAGGAAAGGTCTGAAGAAACAAAGACAAAATAATAAATACACTTTAGGTGATAAGGGTAAAAGTCAAAGTCAATGATGTCATGTTTAAATATGTTAATGGAGCTAATGCTAACTGTTGGTGAACTTCTAGAGAAAACACAAACAGACAAAGTTAGTGAAAAAAACGTATTTTTTAACATGTTATAGGCGATAAATGTGTTTTTCTGTCTCACCGGTCATGTTTGGGTTGGATCGGAACAGCTGTCTGTTTTTCTGCATCAGCTGTTCTCTGCGCCTCCTGTTTCCTCCCTGCAGCAGCAGAGTCTCTCCGATGGGTTTAGCCTGGCTCTGATCGCCTTCACGAGCAAGCAAAGGTTTTAATTTAAACACTCATGACCAGCAGGAATATAAAAACTCTTCATAGTGTTTGGTTACTCACCTGTGTTCAGCAGAGCCTCGAGGCCGTGGAGCCTCGCTGCAGACTTCTCCACCTGGAGCGCCACCACGGGGCCGGTGTGCATCATGATCGCTGCTGCCCTGCAACAAGTACGATTATTTTACATTATATTATATGTCGGTAGTATTTCAGGCCATCCCCCGACACAATATGGTGAGTATGCAGATTATTGTGTATATTTTTCACATTTTAAAGTTCACCTATTCTGCAAAATCCACTTGTTCATGTCTCTTCTACATCAACATGTGTCCCCTCTTCTTCATGTCTCTTCTACATCAACATGTGTCCCCTCTTCTTCATGTCTCTTCTACATCAACATGTGTCCCCTCTTCTTCATGTCTCTTCTACATCAACATGTGTCCCCTCTTCTTCATGTCTCTTCTTCATCAACATGTGTCCCCTCTTCTTCATGTCNCAGCAGGAAGCACACGCTTGCCTCGGGGAGGGAGAAAAAGAGCCAGAGCGTCCACAGCGGAGAATAAACGGAAGGGCAACCATGGCAACCATGAGCGGGAAGTCTTCTTTGCTGCTTTTGTGGCAGAACTACAGTCCCACCTACAGGCCCGGCATATGTACTACAGCGTCTCCAGCGCTTTCGAGCGGTCTCTTGTGAACGGACACGTTTCTGGTGCCTATTGCGTAGACTTTTTTGATATCGATTTCGGTCCGTTTGCGTTATCGTCCTCGTGTGGCTCTTAGTCACTGGTCACACCCTGTTTCTCTCTCACACTCTGTTACACCCATCAGCTCCACTATAGGCCCCACTTCACTCTCACCTCAGTGCCAGATCGTACTTCGCAGCATGTGTAACAGAGTTATAAAGGTTGGTGTAAAATCCTGGTTAAATTGGAGAATTACGCCATCTGGTGTTACAAACGTGCGCCTGCATTACTGTAGCTTTGTTACGGCAATGGATTGTGGGAGATTCTGATCACGCGTGAGGATCTCTTGAGAGCTGCTTGAGAGGTGCTATTGCAGGGGTTTTCAAAGTCTGGGTAGGTGAGCCTCCCCTCAGAGAACATAAGAAGAGCCGCGCCCCCCCTCCCAATTATTATTGCTGTTATTATTATTATTATTATTATTCATTGTTGCTATAATGCAGGGGTATTCAATTGCATTTCAAAGAGGTCCAGTAAGAGAAAATGTAATTAAATGCTCTGTTTTCGCTGTCTACCTTCCGCCATTTGAAATTAATCCGACTGTTTCTCTCCTCTTGTCTCGTCTCTGTGTGTGTGTTGAATCTATCGTGCTGACTGCACCGATTTGATTGGCTGAGTAGCGTCACCTCCTTAAAACATTAAACAATAACTTTTTTAAACCTTTTTATTTTT